GAGTTAAAGAAGAATTAACAACAGAAAAAAAAATAGCAGCAGGGAACAGGACATTTAGAGAGGCTGCTGGCAAGACACCAAGGACAGAGCAAGAGGAAAGGTGGAGAATTCGAGAGGGAACCTTCTTAATTTTTTTCTTGGAGCTCACTGAGAGGGGAGGAGAAACAAACTAATTAGCAGTATTAGGACAGGAGCCATGCTAGCCTATATAAGCTGGTGGGGCACTTTCTTTTCCCCGCTCTCTTTGCCCTGCTTGCCTTCTGTCCTAGCTAGCAAAGCAACTGCTCATCAGAGAGGTAAGAGCATTCTCTTAGTTCCTTTTAATGCAGAGCAATGAAAGTGCACTCTTTTACTGACTCACCTGGATCTCTCTTCTCCCACAAAATGCTTAACAAACAGCATTTGAGCAGTCCTCCTGAGCAAGGGCAGCTAAGGCTCAAGACATTCACTGAATAGGTGAGGGAATGTCACAAGGATTCCAGTTACTGAGAGTTTTCTAGCAGGGTGAGAATTTATTAGTAGGGCTTAGCCCAGTTTGCTGAACCTCTAAGAAAAGAATTAATAAAAGAATTAAAAAAATAAATTAAAAAAAAAAAGAAAAAAACACAACAAACTTGTAACTTTTTAACATCTCCTTTTATTGCCTTTCTATTCTGCAAAATTAAAAATGCCCAGATAGTAATAATTTAGAGTTAATGTGATAGTGTGTCTGGATTTCTCTGTCCCCAAGAGACAGATCTCTGAAAATTGAATTGCAAATGGGCTTAATGAATATTTGAATCTGAGGAATAAGCTTTCTTTTGAACTAATGCTTTGAAATGTCTCTTCTATGGGAAAACTTGAACTACCTTTTCCCCCCCCCCCAGTGAAGTTTAAGTGCATTAGAATCTCTCTGTTTTGGGGAGTGTGCTTGTACAGGTGTGTGCTCCTATACATAACACAATATTACACTTGCCAGCTTTGCTAAACCACTGGTAATGTTACAAGGGCTATACTAAGAATCTGGCCCTTTCCTCTGATTGTACTTGAATGCAGGAATTCCTCTAAAAACATGCTGCACAGAGAGCTGACTGCCCACATGCTTCACAGCAACAATTCAGAGAATGCATGATTCAATGACTGTAGTCGTGCAGTATCAGCTCCTTGGAGAAGCAAATGCTACACAATAACTTAAATCCCCTTGATTTGCAGAATAACATTAATTTTATCAAGAAGAGAGTAAAATTCTAGAAAGAAGAGAACGTACTAGATAACTTTGCTGCATTTTCAGAGATAAAAGCCCAACTCTTAAAAACACAGGCACCAGCTTAGAATTCACTACTTATTACCTAGGAGTATTAAAGCAATTAGCCAAATCAAAGCCTCTATTCCTCTCCAAGCTGCAAGCACAGCACTGCTCTTACCATGAATACCACATTACAAACGTGTGACAGGGCTTATCTCCACTTCATCAGGTGAATAAAAGAGTAGTCACAGAGTAGGTGTTGCAGCACCAGCACAGAGTCTGCCTCGCTGCAGCTCTAAGAAGGCATTACTGAGATGCAGCTTTAATAGGCATTACTGAGATGCCATAGGTATGGCTTGACATGGAAGAAGTGTACACAAGTGGAAGAGAAATTGATTTAAAGAGACATGGAGTTGCATAACACCAGTGCTTTACCACAGAAACACTCCTTAACTCTGAAAAGATGATTAAAAAAAACCAATAGATTAGCTTCTTGGCCCTGGGATATCTTTGTTTTCATGAAAGAAAAACATCTTTTTTATCTTTTCTATTCTCACGGGTTCCATTTCATAGCTGATACAAAAGCATTCAGATACTTTCAGCTGGAAAACTTTCCTTCTTGCTTACGTGAGGATGACAGGGAGATATTATCCAACTGCACAAAGATAACTATACAACAGAAGGCAGCAAATATCTGGAATTACTAGAGAAAAGCAGCAGTGCTCCACATCTAGCTGTCACTTTTCCACCATGGGAAAATAGTTTTAAGTAGCTCCTCTGCACTTGTAGCGGAGCACAAATCAGCCCTTGTACCACAGAGATGAAAAACCACATTCAGACACACTGCTGCTCCTTTATCACACCAGTTATACACTGGCATTGCATTTCCTACCAAACCCATGGAGCACCTCTTCAGAACATACATGAGGTCAGGTACTGCACTTCAAGCTGCGTGTCTTAACACAGCTTTAGTTACGAATCTGAGATAAAAAAGAAATGCTTTCCCAGGCAAATAGAAATAAGGACTAAAAGCTAAAGTTAAAAATCCTGACCCCTGCAGAAGCTAAGCAATCTGTTCCAACAGAATAGCCCTTTCACAATTGTTTCCATTTCCTTTCTTCATGCACTAAGAGAAAAAAAAAAGCCCCTTTGACTGAAAACTGTGTGTTAACTTCAACAGCAGGCCTTCAGAAGACCTGCTCTACTCTGGCCTTTATGCAAAACATGAACACTTCTGCTTCACTTACAATAGAGACATCACTGTCTTAAAATTCTCTGAACATCCCTATTATTCTGGGATGAGGGATCTTTTGTCTTCTGTCCTTTCTTAAACAGTTGCTATCGCCTACTGCCTAAACAAGGTAATGTGTTAGCAGATCATTAATCTCGGCGTATATGAAGCTACTGCTTCTTACAGTATCAAAAATTATTAAAACTGCTCAAAATATTCTATGTTGGTGCCAGTTTCTAAGTAGTTCAGTACTTAGAATCATACAATGATGGACTGGTTTGGGTGGGAAGAGACCTTAAAAGTCATCCTGCCACGAGCAGGGACACCTTCCACTAGACCAGGCTCCTCCAAGCCCCATCCAACCTGGCCTTGAACACCTCCAGGGATAAGGCAACCACAGCTTCCATGGGTAAGAAATACTTCTTTATATTCTCTGTGGGCAGCTAAGTAGAAGTAACAGAAACCCTCCATGCTCTGTGTTTCCAGATGGATGGGACAAGCCTCAGGGCTGTGGCAATAGCTCAACCTCCACACACCAGAGGCAGCCCTCATGCAGCACTGGGATGTGTGTCAGGGTGGTCGTGAAGCCAATAGGGCTGGATCAGAGTCTATTACAGTGTCATAAGGGTCTCATCAGAAACCAAAGGTGCTCTTGGCCTACCCATTATGTACAGGGCTGCTCTGCAGGTGGTAAGAGTGTTCAATCATAACTTCATTTCCCCTTATCATACAGGAGTTGATAGGAAAAATTAACGGAACTTCATGTGAGATGTCTCTCTCTAGAGGCACACATTACGTCATAAACAGGGACATAATGAACATGACCCATGCTGCTGGCCAGGAGGTAACCATAATTACCCTACAACCACTGTAATTTTGAGTATTCTGTAAGAGTATGCACACAGGGCATTAGCACAGCCTTCATGGAGGGTAAAGTTCAAGCCAGGTTGGTGGAAGTGTTTTACCTGGTCACCTGGTCTTTTTGCTGTCCCAATTGCATAAAGACCACTTAATTTCTTCCCATGAATACCCACAGCAAAGGAGTTCTGTGCTCTCAGATTTGCACCATGCAGGACTGCCTGAAGTATGCACTTAAACACCTTCCCACAACAAGGCAATTCATAAAGTTTTGATGAATTAAGGCCTCCAACTTGGCCAGTTTTCTTTTCCACTGTGCAAATGAACCAGATGGTGACCCCAATACTTCTTTACATGCCCATTACATCCCACACTGAAGAGTCTTGCAGTGCAAATTGCTCCTCAATAAGCAGGTAGGGGAAACATACTAGGCATGCTAGCACAGGACACATAGCATCACTCAGCAAGTGCAACAGCCCTTGACTTTATGGATTAGCAACAGAGAAAGCCTAAGTCGTATGAAGAGAAAGATTCTTTAAATTGAAAATGTAAATGCATTTTCACAAAAATTGAAGAGTGTTTGTCTTGACTGGAAATTTTGATTTAACTGAAAGAGCATCAAATTCACTTATTCCATTATTTCAGAATAAAATATGAGGAAATTGAAGGTTAATGAGTCAAGGTAATGAATTAAAACTGAGCCAGAAAAAACCTTCCAGCACAGAGACACTGTCCCTAACAACACTTTCATCCTTTTTTTATTTTTTTCTTCCTTTAGTTAAGCTCCTTTTGCTTTCGTGTCCTACACAAAGCCAAATTCAAGTCTTCCAAGTACTGGTCTTGTCCTCTGCTTCTTTCATGTGGAACCTACCCTTGTATTAGCTGAGCCCTTGCAGGTGGCAGAAAATGTGTATCTATAATTTGTGCAAATACTTAGTCTTTCCTGAAACATCACCATCAGACCCTGATAACATACAGTAAGAAACCAGATAGGATGTACATTAACCAGCCATTCCCCTATGTGTACTCAGAGCTGCTTTACCACACGTCACAGATCTGCAAGTGTAATGCCCAGGGCTGAGGCTGCTTTAGCTTGAGTACTCAGCACCTGCATTTCTGAAGTATGGATTCTCTTCCCCAGCTGCAAAAAGGGCTTTTACTGAAGTTGGAAGCAAGTCAAGGACTAATTCCAATACTTAGAATCATAGAATAGTTAGGGTTAGAAAGGACCTTAAGATCATCTAGTTCCAACCCCCCTGCCATGGGCAGGGACACCTTACACTAAACCATAGCACCAAGGCCTCGTCCAACCTGGCCTTGAACACTGCCAGGGATGGAGCATTCACAGCTTCCCTGGGCAACCCATTCCAGTGCCTCACCACCCTTACAGTAAATAACTTCTTCCTTATATCTAATCTAAACTTTCCCTGTTTAAGTTTTAACCCATTACTCCTTGTCCTGTCACTAGAGTCCCTAATGAAGAGTTTGTGTCATCCTATTTAGACTATTAACTCCAAAATTGAATTGTTTACTTCTTGAACAAGCTGCTGCTCACCAGTGAGACCTGAAGCATCTCTGGTTTTGTATTCACTCAACAGCACACCTTGTCACGTATGCTTTGACAATTACCAAGATTTAGACCTACTCTTCAGGAAATAGTACATTCCAGAGAAAGGTTTGGCTGGTTTAAATTTTCTGGTTTCATATTGAGAATTGGTCTTTAGAGAAATAATGAATTGGCTATAGGACATTGTTTTTAAAATTCAGTATTTATCGCTGGTGGAAGTCTCTCATCCATGTGCCTGAATTAATCTGTGTAGACCTTCATAAGCTGCAAAAAGGTATTCCAGCAGCTCCTAATCCAAAGGACATGTCTCTCATAAGGGATCCTGTCTCTGCCAGCCTTGTGAGGATTTCCTCAACGCCTTATTTAGCCCTAGACACCTCTGTTTAGCCTATAATGCTCCCCTACCTTGTTTAAGTCTTGATATAGTGCCTGCTAAATGTAATAAGAGTCTTTTTAGTTCCTGAGAGTTTCTGATTTACATGTGGTCACCTACCTTGTCTTATGCTAAAGAACAATGGCCAGTTGTCCTGGTTTTGACTGAAAGAGACTTATTTTTCTTCCTAGTAGCTGGTGCAGTGCTGTGTTTAGGCTTCAATCTGAGAACAATGCTGATAACACGTCAATGTTTTAGTTGTTGTTCAGTAGCACTTACCCTGATCAAGGACTTTTCCGTCTCTCATGCTCTGCCAGTGGTGAGGCGAACGGAAAGCCGGGAGGAAGCAGAGACAGGACACCTGACCCGAAATAGCCAAAGGGGTATTCCATACCACAGCATGTCATGCCCAGTATACAAACTGGGCGGAGTTACCCAGAAGGGTCTGATCGCTGCTTGGGTCGGGCTGGGCATCAGTCAGCAAGTGGTGAGCAATTGTATTGTGCATCACTTTTTTATTCCTTCCTATCTCTCTCTCTTTATTTCTTACTATTATTATATCATATTTTACTCTTATTTAAATTATTTAACTGGTCTTAGTTCAACCCATGTTTTTTTTCATATTTGATTCCAATTCTCCTCCTCATTCCCCTGTGGAGTGGGGGGGAATGAGCGAACAGCTGTATGATATTTATCTGGGGAAAGCAAACACTCTGAATTTGGCCTACAATCTCCTAAATCAGTGCTGGGTACTTCTAAACATAGGACAGCTGAAAGTAGAAAAGTTTATTGTACGTGTGCATGTGAGTAACGAAGTAAAATGCCGTGAATAACGCTCTAGCTAAACCATGATCATGGGAAAGGTAGAGATGATCCCAACAGGGACAGTATAGAGACCTATAAACCTAACTTTAGGTAGCTATTATTGGTGGCTGATAGATAAATTCAAACTAGAAACATGGGTTAAGCAGCAGAGGAGACTTAATCACTGAAGCAGCTTCCAAGGTGTGGTGGTCTTCTACGGAGTTGGATCTTCAGGTAAGTTTCAGCTCCTGTGAAGCCAGTGTCCTCTGATGCCACCTTGTTCTTCAAATCACCCCTTAAACCAAGAACTTCCTGATTTCTAGAACCCATGGTGTAGCTGAGCAGGCTGTTAAAATCAGGTAAAAGACAATTAACCGAAGGCTCAGTGGTTTCTTGTGGTGTTCAAATCCATGACTGCACGGAAGCCTGGAAGGATAGAGAAGGGTCCCAAAAGCACATGAAAAGTGAAATGAGAATCAGGTGTTCAACGTAAGGACCTTCCTCTTTCTGGCTCCAAAATAAATCATGAGTGAATAAACAGGGAACAGTAAAAAGCATTTTAATGAACTGTCTTCCCCCTCCCCCCCCCTTTAATTTTAACAAAGGGTTGGAATATCAACATGGAAAACAGTGTCGATATCAAGATGGAAAACAAGGGGGAAAGAAACCCAGTAAAGCAAAATCCACTGATCAAAGCTGTGAAGAGGTTCTGCAGAGGTGTTGGGTACCTCACTGGAGACATGAAGGAATTTGGATCCTGGTTAAAAGGTAAAGCTTCTTCATTGTGATTAATCAGCAGATTCAAAAGAAGAATTACATCAAAGGAGTAATAACTACTCAGTAATGTGATTCAAGTTATACTAGTGAGAAACAACCTCTGCCTTGATTTATTTCCATTTTTTGGGGGGGGGGGAATCAGCTTTGTGCAGTGATATGCACACTGCTTAAATCTTGAGGATGACTGAGATGACATTTACCTCCCAACATGCCATGTACAAAGCAAATTTAATCCCACAAAACATACCCTGGGATGGTTAGTTTTTGCTCTGCCATTCTTCATAAGACTCCCTGTCTTTTCAGCTGAGCAGTTTCTGTCAAGCCTAATGCCACTGTGATGTTAAATTGCACATCGGTAGGTGCTCTTGGTCCCCATAATAAATCAGTAATGGGATACACACATGATTTGCCATCTGAGGCACAGATATAAATTAGCTGGTTCACATGAATCTGGTCCAGGGTACTTCATAACACGGGACTCTGGCAACCACACAGTTCATCTCAGCTTTCCAGCTGTAAGATTTCACTACAGACCGTAATAAATCCCAGTCAGATTTTACTGTCTTTTTGATTCATTGTTTCAGTTGTGCTCCCAAGTTCCACTGCCAAACCTCTTCCTGAATTTCAAAAAATCCACTCCAAATCAGGACCACCTGCATATTTGGTTAATTTGTTTTTTCTATTACTATTTAACTTGATCTCTTCCAGATAAAACTCTCATGATCCAGTTTGTTGACTGGGTGCTGCGTGCAATATCCCAGGTGATGTTTGTCAACAATCCCATCAGTGGGATCATCATTGTTGCTGGCTTCCTGATGCAGAACCCATGGTGGACACTCACAGGCTGTTTAGGAACTGTTGTCTCCACTTTAACAGCACTTATTCTGGGTCAGGATAGGTAAGTCCATCATTTTCCCTTTCAGATATAGACTGTCACTTCAATGATGATTTATGTGTTAAAAAGTGACATGGAGTAAAAGTACATACCTAACATTCATGGCTAATAGTCTGGTCTTGTAAGATCAGATAAATCTTCCTTATCAGCTGCATCTGGTGCAAAAGGACACTGGATATAATTGCAGAAAAGGTAGTTGCTGACAGGACAAAGGAATCAAGAATGGGAAATCAAAGTTCAGTTCCATGACATCCTTGCCTCAGGATGCTGAGGAAGGACTCTTCATTAGGGACTGTAGGGATAGGACAAGAGGTAATGGGTTAGAACTTAAACTGGGGAAGTTTAGACTGGATATCAGGAAGAAGTTCTTTACTGTAAGAGTGCTGAGGTTGCCAAGGGAAGTTGTGAATGCTCCATCCCTGGCGATGTTCAAGGCCACGTTGGACAGAGCCTTGGGTGGCATGGTTTAGTGTGAGATGTCCCTGCCCATGGCAGGGGTGTTGGAACTAAATGATCTTAAGGTCCTTTCCAACCCTAACTATTCTATGGTTCTATGACCATTGGCAGATCTTCATCACAGACAGTCCAGGGAGGGAGGGGTTGATGTGGACACTGGGAGTAGGGGTTGATGTGAGCAAAGCATCTGCAAAAGAAATGATTTTAAGATACTTGTTTCCTTCACACAGATCAGCCGTAGCAGCAGGCCTGTATGGCTACAATGGGCTCTTGGTGGGATTGCTCATGGCTGTCTTCTCTGATAAGGGAGACTATCACTGGTGGCTTCTACTGCCTGTAGTACTGCTGTCCATGACATGGTAAGTTACATGACTCTTCTGCTTCTTATTCTAGCCCCAGAGCCCTCACACTGTGAGTGAGTTGTTGTGGTTTTATGTATTATACAGACTACAATGGAAAAGAAACACAACTAGCACATGTGTGCTACTAAATCTGTAGCATTATGTTAAAATCAAATATAACCAGGAAGCAAAGAAAATACCCACATAATCACAAATAAGTCCAATGGCGAAAAGGAAAATTGATGGCTAATCGTGTGTAATGCAATGCCCTAAATGTTAGCCATGTTACTGTGATGGGTCCATTCATTTTTGTTTCAAGAGGAACATTATTTTAACAGGGGAGATTTAGCATAACTTTGATGTCAGCCTTTCTTTCTGATCCATAAGCTTCAATAAGGACACACTGTTCACTCAGACCTGTCTTGGGTGCCCTAAATTCAGTCTACTTCAAGTGATAAAGAAAAAAATGTAAACACTGCAACTGAGCTAGGAATGACTTCATTAAATCACTGGATCTCACACAAGAGTGGAGGATCTTGTCTCCTTCATGGTCACCAAATTCTCCACATTCATAGCATTTATATGCAATATATATTTGGTGCAATAAATAATAAAAAACCAAAAAAAAACCAAAAAATGCTTAAAAAAAAAAAAGAATGAATTTCCTGCATGGTGGTTTTTGTTTGGGCTTTTTGTTTGGGGCTTTTTTTTTTTGGTTGAAGTTGGGATTTTTGCCTAGCTGACAAGCTCCTAGTAAGACCATTTGGTTCTTCTTTCAGCCCTATTTTCACCAGTGCTTTACAGTCAGTCTTCTCTAAGTGGGATCTGCCTGTTCTCACCTTGCCTTTCAACTTGGCCTTGACTCTATACCTGGCTGCATCAGGACCACATAACCTCTTCTTCCCTGCAATTGTCATTCAGCCTGCAACAACACCACCAAACATCACCTGGACAGATGCTGAACTGCCAATGGTAAGATGTTAAAGATAAAAGACTCCTCCATTTACAAAGAAACCACTATAGAATGATATTATCTTGCTTTACGTTGGTACATTATGGCCTGGCAACACAAAATTGCATTTATAAGGTAGCTATTATCCAAATAATAACAATATTATAAGCCAATAAACATTTACTTTAAGAACTGACATTCTTGATAGCCTGAAAATAGGAATGTTTCATTTCTGTCATCTTTCATTTGCAATTGCATCTAAATATATATATTATGATTTTCAAAGAGTCTGCAGAATCTAATTACCCATTACAGTGTATACGCTGATCAGCACCCCATAGCTAAGGTTTGCTGAGACTACCAGCTAACTCACAGATTAATTTTAGTTTTCCATGTACCGAGTGCTGTGTTTTTAAAATTTCATCTTTCTGATTAGAAACTAGGAAGCAGGTATTTCTATGGAAGAATGATTACAAACTTGGGTGCAGGTACACATTCTCATATTTTAAGTTAATGTTCAAGTGGGATTTTTCCAAAGGAACATTTTACCCTCCATAAACAATATAGGTACTAGAATAATAGCTTTCCTCCATGGCTCAGGAGATTATTTTGAGGTGTTCCCAGGGAGTGATAAAGGAAGTTAATTGACACTAAATGTCAATTCCCACAAGTGACATTTCTCAACATTTACCGTGATGAAGCTGACTGTTCCACACTCAGGACCACAACATTTTGAAGAAAAGTGTCTTGAAACCATTGTTAAGAAGTGAACAAGTTGGGCTCTGTCCCATCAACCCAGCAACTCCTACTCGTATTCCTAGTGAATCCCAACAGAGTTTCAGGTATATACATAGATCAGGTACATAGCCTGAGTGAAGTCTTGTAATTTTAGCCAAGTCATTATTGGCCATTTTACCCTTGGATCTGCCCACTCAGAGAAATCATAGAATTAAGTAGGTTTTAAAAGATCTTTAAGATCCTCAAGTCCAACCTTTACCCCAGGACCTTTACCAAGGCAACCACTAAACCATGTCACTAAGGGCCTAATTTACACAGTTTTTTGAATACTTCCCAGGGATTCTGGTGATTCCACCTCTTCCTGTTCCAACTCCTGATCACCCTCCAGCTTGAGGAGAATGTCTTCTCAAAGGCATCATCTCCCTGAGCACTTCCATTTCCTAGATTCACAGCATGCAAAAAGCGGCAAAGCCAGCAGCATGCATAAAAGTGATGAGCAAACCTTTTCACAAAAGACATTTACCTTTGATATTAGAGCAAAAAAACTGGCAGAGGAGCTCACGGATAGGGAGCAAGGCATGACTCGTTTTTGTTCAAGGGGAAACCCTATGGAAATGCCCTGCTGACTCTTGAGCAATGTCCAAACTTTCCACTTACAGTCCATAAAGCCAGAATGTATCCAACAAATGCCAAACATGAACCTGACCAATAAAAATAAGTATTAAAAAAATAATTAAGCCAATAAGAAGCTCTTTTTTTTTTTTCTTTTTTTTTTTTTTTTTTACATTTCTGCAGCTCCTGCAATCCATTCCAGTCGGAGTGGGTCAGGTTTATGGCTGTGATAACCCCTGGACTGGGGGAATCTTCCTGATAGCTTTATTTATCTCTTCTCCTCTTACTTGTCTGCATGCAGCAATTGGATCAGCAGTAGGGATGCTGGCAGGTAAGAATTTGACATGTGTCACTGATTTTGTAAAAGCATGGAGAATAAAAGATGAACCACAACGATACAGTCACATATGTTCCTTCCATTGGAGAATGCTTGAAAAAAAATACACGTACGCTTCTGTCTTAAGAATTCTTCTGATTATTTCCCCACTCCCTGCCTCATTTTGTGATGGTGAAAACCTTCCCAACATCTGGTGACGGAAAACTGGTGGACTTAACTAATTGCAAAAACCTTCAGAAGAAAGAAGCGTATTTTTGGCTAAAATTAATTTTTATCATTAAATACTTCATTTCTGGATATATACTGACGGTTAAGGAGTAGCTTACCAAAAATGATCGCCATAAATCTGAATGTGCAGCCCTTAAGGATACATTTAAGGTTCACACATACACTCATTCGCTCATGTATATTCTGAAACTGCATAGCCAAATTCAGGTCAGCATCACCTGGGAAATGCTGCCCTGATTGTATTAGATTAAAGAGTCTTTAGTCTTAGACTGTAGCAACACAACTACTAATGGGAACTTCATGTATGTATGGTGGCTAGAGCCCTTAAAAAGCTGAATTCGTGCCATTTTTCATCATCTTTTATCTCTTTGGCCAAGGAATGACACATCTTTGACTTATTTTGCAGCACTGAGCTTAGCAACACCTTTCAGCAAAATCTACTCTGGCTTGTGGGGCTACAACAGCTCCCTCTCATGCATTGCCATTGGAGGCATGTTCTACGCTTTCACATGGCAGACACATTTGCTGGCGATTGCCTGTGGTACGTACCCTATGGATTTTCTCTACTGCCTCATTTCCTTAAAAGATGAAGTTATACAAGAGGGGGGATGGAGCCTGGGAATCACCTTTAGACAAGCAGATGGAGTTACGGAAGACTGATGAATGATGCAGTCAGATGTTGCAGCCTTTGCTCTAATGTACCGTGACAAAATAAAAGCAGTGCTTTCTCTTCCAGCCAAGACTTGTGTTTAAAATGAGAGATGCAATCAGTGAATGCTGATTAGCTAAGGTCTTTGAAATTAGATGCTTAATTTTGAGGCATTAATTGTGTTTGTTCAACATTGCTGGATGAATTGTATTGTTTTTTCCAATCATAGATACCGGCTTAAATTCCTTCTTTGGAGAAGAACATACCTAAACTTTGAGGAAACTGGAGCTCAAGATCAGCCTGCAAGTGTAGTTAGACAATAAAGTTTCCCAGTCTAGTGAAATAGATACCAAAGCCATGAGTTAGGCAACACAGAATGATTGAAGAAGTATTTATAAGGCAATTTCATATGAAATTTCAATATCACAGTGAGCTGGGAATGAAACTATTGCTCCTCCAGTGCTCATATAAAGAAGATCAGTTTTGTACCTCATTGATCCACCTTCTAGCCCTAGAGGCAGGAGAGATGGGGGTGGAATGGTTATTTTCCTATTTAACCCAATATAACAAGCTACACACTTTCCACGTCAGTGCATTTTTCAAAAGCCTGTTTTCATAATCACATTTGTCATCACTCCAGTTCTTTTGTTTTGCCCTTTCCTTGAGCTCCAGGTTAAGGGAGGCACAGTGCAAAGGAAAGAGCTGTTAAGAGGGGGGCTTATCCCCAGGTATGGTCATAGGTATGGTTGAGCTAACTAAGGTAGTGTGAGAGATGTTTGTCATTGCTACTTTACTCTATGAGAATCTGAGCTCATCAGGAACTACCTTATTCCTTTTCACAGCACTCTTCAGTGCCTACCTGGGAGCAGCAGTAACTAACATGTTGTCTGTGGTAAGTAATGTACCAGCTAAGGCCTTGTTCCCAACAATAGATTTGAACAGTGTATTTTCCCGACTCATCAGACAAAACACCAAGACATGGAGAACCCCTGAGCTAAAGGCAGAATTAATCCAGGAGAGGGGACACCATCTGCCCATGGCTTTGGTGTGATTCCCACTGATACAGGCCACTTACAACTTTTCTCCTTGGAGCTTGCATGAACTTGCATGGCTCAGCCCACAACACCTCCGAGATAACTACATATCATTTGTGCCTGAGCTGATTGAGAAAAGAGCCCTCCATATGTGTAAAGAAACCTCAAATTTGGTTTAATTGCTCTGCCCAAGTGCAAAAAGGCGTCCAATACAACTGCCTAGGGAAAAGCTGAATGCCTCTGGTATATGCTTCTATCTTATCCAAGACCACGGCAGATGCACAAAGAGAAGACAGCCTTCTCACCACAGCTGGTAGATGTTTCAGGTTAATGCACAGTGTCGAGATCCCATAAAGATATACTGCCTCCCCAGGGAAGAGATTCTATACAAAACCAAGTCAAGAATTCCTTGAGAAAGCTTTTTGCCAAGCTACCTGGCTCTGAGTTTTATCCAAGGATTGAGGGGTCAAATGAAAGAAAGATGCACAGTAAATAGATGGTTTGTATTTTTCTTTGCAGTTTGGGGTACCATCAGGAACCTGGGCTTTTTGCTTGTCTGCACTGACCTTCCTGTTAATAACCACAAACAACTCTGCCATCTACAAGCTGCCACTCTCCAAAGTCACCTATCCAGAAGCCAATCGAGTTTATTACCTGAAGATGAAGAAACATCAGAGATCTTGCTGTAACGTATGAAAACCCAAGAAGAGAGATACTTCACGGATTTTAAGGCAAGAGTACAGCGTGTTTCAAAAACAAAAAAAAAAAAAAAAGGGGGGTAATTTGCTTGCTGAAAAATCAAAAGACTAAAAATAATCACCCCCTTCTGAGTAGAGATACTTTTTCCACTGCATTCATTTGTTTTATCCTTAGTATGTATGGGACTGTGCTATGCTGGAAGAACCTTTCCCAAGACCAATCTATAATGATTTAAAAGCACATACTTGAATTTTAAGCAGTGGGAATTGACTTGGAAATTGAAAAGAAAAATCTGCTTATGAAATCTGAGTAACAGCAACCATACATGAAGCAATAAAGAGCAAAGCATCTCTCAGCATTTAATTAATGGCTAAAATCAGTTAATGACAGAATTCTGATATGTCTTAGAAAGCTTCATAGTAGCAGATAAGGGGAATAAAGAGTATCCTTTTCTAAGTAGAAAATAGGTAGTGAAAAATTCTACTTGGAGGATCTCTCAAGCCCAAGTGGAGAGAGATGATGTAGCAGTAATGATCGTACATAAGATAGACTCAGATAAATTGCGGCAGCATTGCTAATACTTGCAAGACTAGTGGTAAGGAAATCACAATAATAGCATGGAGGGGGTGTCTATCAGCCCCAGCTTTTGTATGTTTTAGTTTGTTCTAGGCTCTAATATCTGATGAAAAAAAAAAATATTTCAGGCCAAACCAGTTGCAGAGAAAAGTAGCAAATGCCAGTGAAAAGAATATTTTTCTACAGAAAAACCCAAAAAAATAAAACCCACCAAGTTTCATGAGTTTATGTTACTCTAACTATTTTTCTTAATATTTGAACTTGGTCCTGGGTTAGCAAAGCAAGGGACAGCTGCAAAGGCATTGCTGTCCATTTCCTATTCAATAGAATGGCTATGTTCAGCCTGTGCACAAGTAGAACTAATCTGAACTGATCTTTTCCAACTCTCCCACCCACATCATCTGCTTCTACCCACAAATATCAAACAGCAAAATGCTTTCCCATCCCACCCTGCTGCTAAAGTTGCTGCTCTGCCATTTTTCTCCTGGGGATGTTTGGGGGACCAGTGGACTTAGCAGATGTCTGCAGATGACCAGCCTTGTGCCTTGTTGGTGTTAGTCGATGACAAAACGAACATGAGCCAGCAGTGTGTGCTTGCAGCCCAGAAAGCCAACCATATCCTGGGCTGCATCAAAAGGAATGTGACCAGCAGGTTGAAGGTCCTGCCCCTCTACTCTGCTCTCATGAGTGAATACACTTGGAGTATCGTGTACAGTTCTGGTGTCCTTAACATAAAAAGGACATGGAACTGTTGGAACAAGTCCAGAGGAGGGCCACAAGGACAATCAGGGGACTGGAGCACTTCCCGTACGAAGACACACTGAGAAAGTTGGGGCTATTCAGCCTGGAAAAGAGAAGGCTGCATGGAGACCTCAGAGCAGTCTTCCAGTATCTGAAGGGGACCTATAGGGATGCTGGGGAGGAACTCTTCATTAGGGACTGTAGTGACAGGACAAGGGGTAACGGGTTCAAGCTTAAACACGGGAAATTTAGACTGGATATAAGGAGGAAATTCTTTCCTGTTAGGGCAGTGAGGCACTGGAATGGGTTGCCCAGGGAGATTGTGAGTGCTCCATCCCTGGCAATGCTCAAGGCCAGGTTGTACGAGGCCTTGGGTTGCATGGTTTAGTGTGAGGTGTCCGTGCCTGTGGCAGGGGGTTTGGAGCTAGATGATCTTAAGGTCCTTTCCAACTATTCTATGATTCTATGTCTGCACAGGCTCCCAAGGTCTGCAGTTAGGAAAGGAGGGAGCTGACCTTGAACCCAACAGTGCATGTCACCTTAATGGGTGCTAACTCATCCACCTTTCTGTCTGGCTCATCGAGATACTTGTTTTCATGATGGAGCTGACATGTTCACCATGAATACTCCATGCACTCAAGTCCCTCAGTTGACATTATCCTACATGCAGTAATGTCTCTCCTGGGGAAATCAATCTAAACTCCTTTCTTTTGTAGCAGAGGAAATACAAGGTAGACTGTGAACAGTGCTACTGCTGATTTCTGAGGCTGAGTAAAAAAAAAAGCCAAACCTATCTTTTTATGAACAGCAAAAAGATCTGAATGAAAAATATTTGGGATGAACTGCTGACAATATTTTCCAGTGAAGTGGTAGGTTTTCAGATGTTTGACAGTATTTCTGCATGACTGACACTCCAGAGTTCACTTGTAAAAATATAGCATCCCCTGTCTTATTTGGCAAATAGCTACATAATATTTTGTGGAGTTAATTTTTAAAACAAATATTCATACCTTTCAGAGTTGAGTATAAGTTTTCCTCTACTTATCATCTTCCAAAGATGATCTCTACTATCTCTTCCAAAGACAATTTATTTCTTAAATAAGTAGCTTAGAAGACACTGGGAAATAAAGTTATGAAATCAGTGTAAAGGGGATATTTAAGAAGCTGCTAAATTCTGATCTTTTTACTTAGGGTGTTTTGCTGCACCAATGTCTTCTTAAATGTTTAAGTGCAAAATTTGATGCTGTACGGGAGGCACAATCAGCCCAAGGCACAGTAACATGCCTGCAGAGCTACAGGCAGAGCTGGAAACTCTTTTGGGATCAGATGAAAACTTGTTCCTAGGGGAGATGCTGGACAGGCCCTCAGATTAGGATTCAGTGAGGTCATGTTCTGCCCCGAGGATGTACCTTTCCAAACTGTGACGGAATGAGGACATATTTTAATGTCTGAACTGACATCTCCCACCTAGGACCATATATGTCCCAAAGAGGCAAACCTACAATGTCTGGCTTTCGTTCTTCTGTCAAAAGCTGCACTCGGGTGAGAGTACACACTTTATGACCAGTGTAAACCAACAGATTTCCTGGTGCTATTTCAGCATGCTGTTGCTGAGCAACAGGGATATTTTGGCAGTACCGTAAAGAAACCTTATGCACAGAACAGAGTAACAACAAAAGATAAAAGCTGTGCCTCAGCCATTAAATTTTTCACATCTTTCAGAATTAATTCCTTACTTTACACTATCCAAGAAATCACTCTTCCCTTCACCCTGTGCAAGATAAGAGTTATTTTGTAATTTGACATGTACATCAGTCAGAATATGCTTTTTTCCCCATTATTGTTCATAATGCAGTCTTTGCTAACAGATCTGATTTATCTTATTATTGAAACGGCTCTCTTTCTTTTTCTTTATATCGAATAAATGCTATTTGAGTCACAATGGTTTTGTCCAAGCACTCTGTTTGAAACTTCTGTTCTGACACACAGGTAATACCAGTCTCTTAAGAAATATTTATGCTGGCAGGACTTTGGGGGCTATTTCCTTGACTATTTCCCCCAGCTTCCCCCCTCCCCCTCATGCCAACATAACACAGCAAAAGAGATAGCACACTGTCTAATATCACTAAAAATTAAATAAAGAGAAAACAATTTTGAGACAATCACTTGAAAACATTGCTTGGAATCAGATTTTAACCAAAAGTCTGATGCAAGTGAACTGCCTCACTGTCATTTCCCAAGCTATTCTCATGGCTTCTGTCTGATGTGCATAACTCTCCCCAACACTCCCAGTTCCATGTCAAGCAACTGCCCCAGTCTCCACCATTTGACACCAGTGTTCCTGCTGCGCCACAGTACTTTCTACTGTGATTCAGCTCCCCAGTAGCCCTGACTACAGTCACACACCTCATAGTCCTGCATAAGGTTTGCTATTGGAGCCAAGGGGTGGGAAGGACAAGAAATCACAGGATGCTGAGCCACGATCAGCAGATTTTTGTCAGCAGAGCCCACTCCTCTCCCTTCCCAAAGCAGTGCTGTTTCTTCATGGAGCCCAGCGTATCCTGGCAATACCTACAGCAACAACAAAACAAGGGCTACTGCCCTCTTTTCCCCTTCCCCCTGTAAACCAGTGTCTGGGCAAGTGCACAAGAGGCCAATATCCATCCATGCATCAAAGTCATTGCATCCTCATGATGCTAAGTGAGAGGAGAAAACATTCAGCCCAGATTATTTGAGGACCAGACCTGAGAGCTGGCTGCAAAAGCAGGATGAAAAACAAGAGGTATGAGTGCAGCACACTACCTGTTTAGATGTTCAAATCTGGAGACATTCAACAATACAGTCTCCTTTATCTAATCCTCGAGGATTGTTGTGGGTTTTGTTTGGTTTTACCATGTTGTAAATGAAATACAATCAGTATAAAGAATGTTCATGTTGATAATAATCTAATCTTTTTAATCTTGCCATTTAGTGTAAAGGGTAGAATTGACACAGAATTTGGCCATTGCTAGGAATAATTCACCTACTAAGGAATGTGCCAGCCATGAGGAAGCAGGTCTGTTCAGTCAAAAGAAATACTTGATTATTTCCCTCAGAGTCTAAGCACTGCAAAAAACACTATGCCAACTGAATTGCTAGACACAAATGAGCACCTTTCCGATGGTTTCTCTTTGTCTTGCCACAGAAACCTGCCTTCAGGTAAGGCTTTTTTTGGTACCAGCTGTTCATCTTACTCAAGATTTTGAATGAGATGGGGAAACAGTATAACTCTCAAAGCAAATCCAATGACTTAAGAGCCTGACTCAGCTTATTCTCAAAGGCACAGGTAGGCCAAGGTAATTAGTTTCCCATGTGTTGAAATGGAAAGTGTTTAAACAGGAGTTGGAAGCCTTAATGTTTTATAGTTATGGGCCAGAAGACTTGGGCTTAGATCCTCAAAAGCTAATCCATGCTGGTAAATGAAAAGTAGAATGTTCCATCTCACAGACATTCATCCCCCACTCAACTGAGCATCCATGCCATGGCACAGTCCCAGCCTTTGTCAACCAGCATCTCCCAAACAGTGCCTAGACATAGCTCAACACACAGAGTGGACCTCTTTTGAACTCTCAGTACTTTCTACAGTAGCTAGTATTCAAAGACTTTTCACTTGCAAAGGGGCTCTGAAGGTTAAATTACTTACCTTAGAATCATATAATCACGGACTGGTTGGGTTGGAAGGGACCTTAAAGCTC